ATTTTCGTTGTAATCTTTATTTATTTTTTATTAACTTCTTCTTTGATTCCAAAACAATTATTACATTGGATTTCTAACCAATTTTCACATTGATTTCCATTTTTATATCCTGGGAATATTTTGTATATTTGCATTTATCCATCTTGATCATTGTCCTCTAATCCGTTCATGGATACATTCTTGTTCTATACACATCATTTTTGTACTAAGAATTGAAAAATCTAGTTCTTCTAAACTACTATTTTAATTCCCCGAAAATTTACAAAATATATAGAGGAAATATAAGTGTAGAGATATTGTACTTTTTTTGTATCTCTTAATTAATTAAAATACTTCAACACGAGAAAATGTTATTTTGTATTAGATTACATCAAGTTAAGTCCGATTTAAAAAATAATATGTTAATAGAGTTGATGAAAGTTTGCAATATTAATTATGTAAAAGTCTTATACTTTTTTAATTCCTATCCTACGTGATTTTTATTTGATATGAAAGCATTACTTGAAATAAAATTCAAATTCTATTATTTGAAACCAATTCTTATTCAAATTCGTTGTATTACACGGTTTTTCAATTCTAGTTGCATACAAACTCAATCGACAATTTCCGCTATAAATACGGAAAAAATTCTCATTATTTTTACGACAAAGATAAAGAAAGACATGGTAGAGAAAGAGAGAGGGAAAATATTGAAAAAAATTTACGCATTAGAGTTTATCTTCTTTTCAAACTTTCAAAACGATGTAAGATATTTTTGTACCAGTTGTTTGTTTTCGTATACTTTTATATTCAATTAAATATGCATGAAGTTGACCTTCGGGTTCTTTAGAAGAGTAATATGAAATCCTTCGAGAATTTAACAGGATCTAAGATGGGTGTGTCGCTTGGTCAACAGTATACTCCATAAGATAAAAGTGGCATAAAGTGTAAATTTTATTGTTATATAGTTGTTTATGAAAACAGCACGTATCTTATTTGGTATTTTTAAATACTCACTCTTACCAAAAAAAAAAAGAAGAAGAATAAATTTTTTGATAACACTCCAAGATTTATGAAAGTTTGGGATGTTACAGTCTAATATTAGAGCTCGAGTCTACCTTTCTGCAGGCTTTTTTTATTATTAGTTTCAAATAAATGAATTCAATAAGAATTTGCCAATTTTAAAAATATATTTAAAGATGTCTCTAGTTTACACTTATTGTTTGAGTTTTATTGATTTGAATATTCAATTGATTGAAATGTTTTGTTAAAAAGATCTAAACTGCTTAAGAATTGCTTGAAATTTAAACGATCCACTCATGACCCCCTCATCATCTAGAAGCTTTTTGATTGCGTGTTATTCAAATAATAAAATGAAAAACAATATTTCAAATCATTCCAAATTTAAGCAAAATTTTCTTTTTGGAAAATTTTATTTAGAGAAAATCCTATTTTAGGAAATTTTCTTAAATAAAATATTAGAGATTTATGGGCAATGTAAAATTTTTGAAGTCTTAAACATGTTATGATATAAAGAATTCTTGGCATGCGATGCTCACTATTCGACTACTCTCCAAATGATCCAAGATATGAAATGAAATGTCATTCTTTTGACATCATTATGAGTTTTCTTACTTCATGTTATGTACTATTACAAGTATGTCAAGACAAGTATCCAAAACTTTTCAACTAACAGATATAATTTCGAGGACGAAATTCTTTTAAGGAGAGGCGATTGTAATGTCCCGAAAATTTTTTAAAATACAATTTATTTGTTCTATTTACTATATATTTATATTTTAAAAGTTGATTGAATAAAGTGAAATGGTTTAATTTTATTTTTATTTTTGCCAAATAATCAGATTTTGATAGAGGGAAAATAAGTGTATTGATATTGACTCTTTTTTTTTTTGGTTCGAAAGTAATTAGAAGACTTCGACACGAGAAAATGTTATTTTGGATTAGATTATATCAAATTAAGCCTGATTAAAAGAATAACAGGTTAATAGAGTTTGTGAATGCTTGCAATATTAATTAAGTAAAATCCTTTCACTCTTTTAATTCCTAACCCACGTGATTTTTATTTGATATAATGAAAGCATTACTTGAAATACAATTCAAATTCTATTATTTGAAATCAACTCTTATTCAAATTCCTTGTATTACAGTTTTTCAATTCTAGTAGCATATTAACTCAACTGATAATTTCCACTATAAAGTAGGCAATAATTCCCATTATTTTTTACCACAAAAATAAAGAGAGCAGGGTAGAGAGAAAAACAGGGAGAAAAGATTTGAAAAATCATAGAAGAATTTTTATGCACTAGATTTTTTCTTCTTTTCAAACTTTCAGAATGAGGTAAGATACTTTTGTGCAAATTATTTGTTTTTGCATACTTGTATATTCAATTAAATATGCATGTATTATCAGTGGACCTTCGGGTTCTTTAAAAAGAGATATATAGTCCTTCGAAAATTTAATAGGACTTAACATGGATGTGACGTTCAATCATCGATATATTCTATAAGAGAAGAATGGTATGAAGCGTAAATTTTATTGTTATACATTGTTTATGAAAAATGCATATGTATCTTACTGGTTATTTTTAAATACTCACTCTTACAAAAAGGGAAAAAAATAATAAAAAGAAAAGAAAATTTTTTGAAACACAACAAATTTATGAAAGTTTGGGGTGTTACAACTATAACTATCTTCAGAACTAAACTATTTATTATTTCTAAATTGTCTAATTCATCATTTGTATAAATATTATATACACAACTACAAGATTCATTATCAAATAATTCTACAATGTCACACTGAATTTATTTTATTATCATAGATTTAACTATTTTCTCTACTTTCATTTTCGTTGGGACATTTGTTAGCAAAGTGTTTGGAATTTTCACAAATATAACATTTACAGTTCTTTTTATTACTTGGCTTTTTGATATATCTATTTTAATTTTTTTAATTTATTTATAATATATCCTACTTGGTCTAATATTGTACTTTTTTCTATCTTGATATTGTCTTTTGTATTTTTGTATTTTTTTTTATCTTTTTATAGAATTTTTTCTTTCTTCTTATATATTCATAGGTTTGTGGTGTATATAAATCTGAAAGAAAAGAATAATTCAATTTTTTTATTTGCTTTCTAGCTATTTCTTTTATATAATATTCTTTTAGGTGAATAAATGTCAGATGTTTTAATTTAGTTTTGTAGTTTTGAGTTAGTTTGATTGTACGACTATTGTACAATATCTTCCAATCAATGAACTAAAATTATTTCCCAGTATTCATCTTTTCTACAATTTTGCAATGGTCATATCAATAAATGTACCTTTTCTGTTCCATTTTGACTTCGAACATGATAGTAATTATCCTACGGCTAGTTGCAACAGATGTTTCACAAGAAAGAATACGAAGAAAAAACCAAAAGACGGAGAGAATTCTCTGAAATACGAATCAATTTTTATTAAACTCCAGAATGACGAAAAATAACCTACAAGCCGGATTATGTAGCTAAGAAAATTCGAAATTATCGAAATTTCACCAAAAATAGCAAAATCCCAATAACCATGTCAAAATAAAATTTTGCCAAAAATCTGGCTCAAATCGAGTTCGTAATCACCTCAAAAACGACAACTGAAATATTACCAAAAATTAAAAAAAACAAAAAATGGAAAATCAAAAAGGAAAACAACTGATTTCGATCTCGAAATTGACAGCCACCAAGCATAACTCGATGACCATGACGTGGGCACCGAAAAGAACTTTCCGAATCGGGGTCATAATTACGATTTTGATAATCGTAGCCAAAATTATGGACAAATTATCAAAGTGTGTTCAAAAGTGCATCAATTAAGAAAAGTTCGCGTTCAGTTGCCAGCCTTGCGCCGATCTACCAACTCATGATATCTTAACTCCATTAATGTGATATCTGATAACTCGGCGTCACTTGACTCAAAACCTCATGCATCACATTTCCAAACATAGGCAAAAAGGCCATGCCTTTAAGAAAAATAAATTCTCGAAGGATTGTTACATTTAACTACCCTGCTAAGAGTTCATAAATGTTTGTCCATAACTCGATTCTAACAAGTTTAATCCCACATCAATATCTTTATGTCTGCATCCAAAAGCATCACTTACACAACTGAAAAAAATACTCAGAATTAAAAAAAAAAATTTAAACTAAACCCCTTTTTTGTTAATCACAGTTAATAAAGAGTTACTTGGCACTTATTTGGTAAAGCGTTTGTTAAAAGATAGTCAAACTTCATTTTTAACTATACATTTCATTATTTTCGTAATTTTTATCTTCTTTATCATCACACATTTTGTAAGACCTACAAATTTTTATCGATTTTTAGCAACATTACACCAACAACATTATGCAGGCTCTTATTTTGATTCAAGGATTAAACTCCCTAGCCTGCAAAATTATGATATAAGGGTTGACAGAATCCTATGTGGCAAAAAATGATTTGATGAAAAATATGACTATATTTTAAAAGTACTCTTTAATAACTAAAAAGGGACCCAAACATATGCCAATTTAATATTGCTTATGAGTCATTTTTGTGTGGAGACATTGTTAATTAGTTTTAATATATATTTACTTAGTTTTCAATAACATGATAATTCAGTATTTTAGGTCAATTGAACTAGCGTGGAGTCTTAGCCTCGTTTGGCTATTGTCTAACGGTCAAATTATTTTTTATTCACAAATTTTGTGAGATTCATAAGTACTATGCATTTATTTATCACTCATTTTTATTATTTACAATCACATACAAAACAAGCTTTTAATTTTACACTTTAACAAGTAAAAACATTTAATGTTACATGACTGATATACAGTGTTAACTGTAATAAAAATACAAATGAAAAGATTAAATGAAATAAAATAAAGTTAGAGGACTTTGATAAAACTTGGCTTGAAACATAACGATCACCAGTGTTTTTCAGGACTAAAAAATAATAATAATAAAAAATTAAGAAGTCCTCGAAATATCTGTAAAAATCTTTAAAGTTGGCCTTTCAATTATAGAGGAACTTGTCAATTATAAAACATAAGGTTATCTGGAGTGCGTGTGGTGCTAAAGTTGCAGCTGGGAGATCGGTTGTGAAGACGATGGAGCAGCCCACATCACGATCCCAGGAGAGAGAGGGTGAGTGATGAGCACCATTTTAATCTTTAAAAAATGGCCAGGTGTGTTGATAATTGGTATTTGATTTTGCTTGTAATATTCACTTATTAACTTCGAAGCATCCATTTTCATTTACTTGTCGATGTGAAAGCAGTTGATGAACCAAGCTGGTCACGATACTCAGGAGTGCGTCACGCAGTAATTGATGGCATCTGGATTAGTCTCGAAAGATTCTTCGAGCAGAGTTCCGCATTCACAATCAGGATAAACGAATCTGACGACACAGCACTTCTCCTGGCCGTCAAGGTAGGACGAGAGTATTCCTTTATCGAGAAGATGGTTAATAAGACGCCGTCATGCTGCCCAAGCTTACTGACTCAGAAGGACAAGTCCGGCAATACAGCTCTTCATGCTGCGGCACAGCTCGGAAATGTCAAAATAGCTGAGCTGCTCGTGAACAAAAATCGTGAATTGCGGGGTTTTTTCAACAACGATGGTTTGTTGCCAATCCAAGTTGCCGCAAATCGAGGTCACAAAGGGATGACTTCATACTTGCTCGATATCTGCCTGAAAACTAATTATTCTAATCTACATGAAGATGAAGCTGCTGGCAGCGTTTTGCTATCTCTAGTAAAAGCAAAATTTTATGGTATGTAAAGTTATTGCTCAACATTTTTTTAGACAGAGCAAATAGACTCGCTGCCCTGCTCTTTTTGCTGCCTGATCTGATGATTGCATTGATTTATAACTTCAATTTCTTTGGCATGATAAGTTAGTAATACAATATTTATTTTCCTTTACAAAAGAATCTCAATTCCTTCTTCAGCCAACCAGCCGCCGAATTCTTACTTGAATGGTTTATGTCAATGATCCAACTCTTTGGTATGTTTTACTTGGACCCTTAATTCTAATATGAGTCAAACCCAACAAGAGTGACATCAACTCTACTCCCAACTTCCTAAGCTCACCTATTGTTTGTTGGGTTCCATTTTAGAAGGTGGGCTTTTTTGTTATGATCACTTATTAATTTCGCAAACTAAATGCTACTAAAAATAATATTGAAATTTATTACTGGTTTTTGCTTAAATTGTAGATTTGGCTTTAAAGTTGCTTGAAAAGAACCCCGAGTTGGTACGTGGGAATGTTTCTTATTTGGAGCTGATGAAAACTTCTGTTTCCCGAAGTGGAAGGATTTTGGAGCTGATGGCTGAGGAACCTTCTGTTTTCCAAAGTGGAACATGCTTCGGCATTTGGGGGTCCTTAATTTATTCTTGTTAGTCTCCCTTTCACACTCTTATTCATTGTCATATTTCTTCTTATTCACTAAACTTGCGTTGTATCATTCGACATTTCCATTAGAGTCTTTCCAGGTCTTGAGTTGTATCTTATTACAGTTAATGGGTTTAACCAGGAGGTTCCACGAACTCCTACTTGGTTGTGAGCCACATATCATATCTTATCCTTCATGGATTCTTGCCACTTATTAGAATAGGAACATAAAATGACTTGACTCTATGAGATTGATCTACAATTGACCAATATCACTCTCACGAAGATTGAACATAATCACCCAATAAAATAGGTCTCCTTTCTCTCTGCATCTGTGTGTGAATTGTGATATGGACTTCTAGAGGAGGTTCTTTAGTTGGAGCATAATATTTATAATAAATTTATGTGGGAATCCAAAATAAATAGATGAGTTTTAAGCCCTTTAAAATTTTGATGCTTTTTCCTATGTTTTAAACCTCAGTCTGTCATTGACGTAGAAAACATAAAGTGTTAAAGAGTCGAATGGTTCAACCAGTGTATACTGATGCTGATTGGGATGCCAAAGAGTATGCAAAATGAAGGAATGACCAATTTACCAAATTCTTCTCTTCCTCAACAGCATAGGTGCTCCAAGAATCAACTTCCATGAGAAAAGTACTTTTATACAATTACCTTAATCGATATTCAGCATTGCAACCTTGGTATATTTTCCATTGTCTGAATTTGCTGAGGCACGTTTCAAGTTTGGATACAAATATTCAGTCCATGTTTAGCTAGAGTTTAATGTCTTCACAACGTTTGGTCTTCTTTTCTTTTGCAGTGTCTGTGTCTCCAGAGGCACCTGGAATACTTTGGAAAAAGCTTGAAGTTCTAGGTAAGAAAATATGCTCTAGCAATCAATTAAAATACAAATAGATAGATTATTTAGCAGCGAAATTAAGGGATATCTTGCAACTGTAGTACCACCTATGGAGCGCATTCGTCACATAAAATTGATGCATCATCAAGCAAGTCAGCTATTCAAACTCACATTCTCATTTATTATAACTTGGCCATATGGCGCCGCTGTCGCTGCAATGAAGAGGCCATTTATTTTAGCGGCACAGAATGGATTAACAGAGATTGTCACTAAAATTCTATATCATTTTCCTGAGACAATAAATTCTACAGATGAAGAGAATCATTCGGGATTTCATCTTGCTGTAATGTACCGCCGTGAAAAGGTTTTTAAGATTCTTCAACAGCAGAATATTGGACAGGATAAGATGTTCTCAATTGATAATAATCGTAACAATATATTGCATTTGGCGGGATACAGAGCCCGTCAAGACTCACTCGATCTTAATCGTGGAGCAATTCTTCAAATGCAGTATGAAATCAGGTGGTTTAAGGTAATATATTCTTACTTTTCATATATTTAATCTCAGGCTGGAAAGAATTGCCTGTTTATGGGTCCACTTCAGTTGGAAAGCAGTAGAATTCAGATAAAATGTTTGGGAAAGGGTTTCTTATTGAAGGTTTTTTGGGAACCATTTAGCACTTAAAGATGAATACTTGACGAGTTTCCTCATTTATGCGGCCTTACTGAATACAAAAATTGATCTGCGATCAAATTTTCCTGTTTGATGCAGGAAATGGAGGGACTTGTAACATCTAAAGAAATTAAATCAAAGAATTCTGATGGGAAGACTCCACTGGCTATCTTCAATGAAGAGCACACTAACTTGGTTTCAACTGAAATAAAATGGATGACAGAAATGGCTACTGCATGCTCAGTAGCATTATCACTCATTGTTACAGTGGCATTTGCTGCTGCAATCACCGTTCCTGGAGGGAACGACAGTAATGGCCTCCCCATTTTCTCTAACCAGACGTCCTTCTTAGTCTTTTCCATTTCAGATTCCCTTGCACTTGTCTTATCTGTTACAAGTGTTCTATCTTTCATATCCATTTTTACTTCCCGCTATGGAGTTGATGATTTTCTTCATACCTTGCCCAACAGGTTGATAATCGGCCTAATTTCCTTGCTCTTCTCTGTAATATCTCTAATGGTTGCCTTTAGTACTACTATATTTCTTGTGTTTGCTAAGAAGAATCCCCTGATTCTCATACCAATAATCATATCGGCTTGTTTACCAGTCTTATTCTTTATGGAACTGCAGCTTCCTCCCCTTCTCAATATGATAAAACTTATATTTTGATATGGTATATGGTATATTTTACTATGGTAAAATAATATTTTATAACAAATAAATTGTGATTTTATTTATTTATTGAGAATGTTTGTAATAATATAAGTTGGATACTTGGGTTGATTAGTATGATATGATACAACTTATATTTTGATCATAAAAAATTTGTTCACAGCCAAAGTGTGAGGGTTTGTACCTTGTACTGAAAGGTCGTAATATTGATCGATTCATTTCCAAATTTATCGTTTGTCTTTATCATATATATATATATATCTTTTTTTAATGTTAATGATTTTTTTATCCACCAATGAGTGAGATCAATTAAATTGGTCAAATATCTCTACGAGTTAAAAATTTGAGAACGAGCGAAATAGAGAACATAAATTCGTGTCAGAAACCATCGATCTAAAAAATGTGTGGAATGATTATCAAGTATTTTTTATTAAACGATTAAAATTTGAGTTCAATATTTAGCGACAGTTAAACTTCAATATTTGATATTAGCTCACAAGATCATTGAAGAAAATAACATTTAAACTAATGAGTATAATTAGAAGGGCAAAACGATTACTTATGCTCATATCTAATTATGGAATGGAGATAAAATCATATACGACAAGTTAGAAGAAAGTATTACAGATACATTGGTTCTGTGATCTTATATATTTCAAAAGGGAAGTCTTTTGTCTTTAGTAGAAAAAATAAAGACTAATAATTAAATTAAGCGATCTAGGATATGATCTAATTATTGGAACTTAGATAATATATGTTCAATTAATGGTGTAGCTCTATAAATCATTGAAACTCAATTATAATTATTATAAAAGTTTTGAGCTTGATTGTAAACACAATAAAATTTTATACTTAACTATAATATCTATAAAAGTTGTAAACTTAATTGTAATTGAAATTGAAATTCTAGGACATGTAATTAAATTAAACTAATTGTGTCTGGATTTTAATTAAAACTTCAATTTGAATGTGAAATTTTTGTTGTATACAGATTTGAACTATTTGATTTTTATAAAGAGACTAAATGGAACTTGGACACTTATTAAACACAATAAAGTATAATCAATAATTTCATAGTATTCAAATTTGAACAAAAAAGGGGAATTTTTTTTTTTATTCAATTGTTCAATCAAATAATTATTTTTTCGATTTAATTAAAGAAAGTGTGAAGGTGTCCACCCATTGATGTAGTATTAACTTTGAAGAACAATATAGAAGACTTAGAGGATTGGAGCATCAAGTTTTTAGAATTAAAAAATTAGAAGCTCGTGGTTCAAAAAGTTGGGAAGTTCGTGATTCAAAATTAATTTAGAAGTTCAATCATCAAATTTAAGTAGAATTTCAAATATTTTATTTTTGATATAATATACATGTAAACATCTAGAGAAATTGTTTCTTGAATAATTTTTTTTTTAAAATTTTCAGATAATTCCACTTCCGCATTTTGACAATTTACTAAAATTATTTCTCTATTTTCATCTTCTCTTCAACTTTGCAGTAGCCATACAAGTAAATGCAACTTTTTATGTTCCATTTCCAAATAAAGGCAAGAAGACCATGCTTTGAGGGGGAGGAGCTAATTATGAAAATAGAATTACAAAAATAAATTCGTGAAGAACTTGCAAGTGTCGTTGCAGAATTAACGGAAAATCTTATCGATTTACCCTTGTAAGAGTTCATACATGTTTTTCTATAGCTCATTTTCGACAAGTTTAATCCAAGGTCAATACCTTTGTTTATGCATTCAAAAGCATACCCTACATAACAAAGGTCCTTTGACAAAAAAAAAATAAAAAAATAAAAAAATCCTTGGAAGTAAATCAGCAAGTTTTAAACCAAATACCCCCTTTTTTGTTAGTAAAAGTTAAAAAAGAAATTACTTTATGCTTTTCATCTTCTTTTTTATCGTATAGCTTATGAGACTCAGCAATTTTTATTAACAATTAACAACATTGCACAAACAACATTATAAAAGCTCTGATTTTGGAAATAACCTGAAGAATAAATCTATTTGTACAATCACTTTGTAACAATGTTGTATTTGTCAAAAAAAGTGTTCGTGGGAAAGATGAATTATTTTTAAAATTGTGCAATGACAATATGCTAAGTGGCATGTTGTCAAAATTATTGAACGCCAAGTATTATTATAAACTGAATTAAAAAAAAAAAAAATAGTTAGTCAAAGTTAATATGTCATACAAACAATCACGACCTATTCATGAGCATATTCAGAGTACCAGAATCTCTATTCACCGACATTCATTCCCTAATGATGCAATTCTAGTGGGGCTCGCTGGACCAATGAAAGATGTAAACTAACCTGAATAAACGAGATCGCATCTGCTTTCCAAAAGGATTGGGTGGTCTGGTGTTACGAGATCACGGTCCATTCACACTATCTGCTTTTGGGCCTATGTTTGGGCTGTTTTTATTTCCTCTTTTGCTCCTGTGGACGGGTCTTTTGCTGGGCCTGATTTTCGACCGCTCATCTTTAATTTTTGTGGGCTGCACGTTTCTCCCTTTGGTCTCCCTTGCTTCCCGTATTGCTCCCTAGCAGTACACGTTTCTCCATGGGAAAGAAAAACCATTCTGTAAGCCATTTTAATGGCTTGGCACCCCTCAAGCCCACGGCTGTTCGACCGGCTGATGGTGTAATGAATATTGTCGCCTCTTCTAAGATAAATGTTGCGGAAAATAATAAGGTGAGTTTGGCTTCACCTAGTGTATCATTAACACTTGAAGAAAATGATACGGAATATGAAAATTCAGATTTTCAATCAAATTTTGTGGAGTTGGAGGAACAAAAACATATTAATGTTGCTGGAAATGAGGTTGTGAAAAATATGAAAGCCCCATGGGTTAATCTTTTTAAAGACAATCGAAAAATGGAAGAAAATATAAAGTTGAAGGCTTTTGAAAGTCAATCGGATGAAGTTGTCCTAGATGAATTGGATGAAGACAATATTGAGAATTCGTGGGGATATGAGCTTGTTGAATATTTCGCTGGTTGATTTCTGGGGAAAGTGGCTCTTCTCTAACTTTGTGACTCGTGGAAGGTGAATTATAAATATCTTGTGCATGCAAATGGTTGGTTCGTCTTCAAATTCGAAACGAATGTAGATAGACCAAGTGTTTTGTATGGGGGTCCATATTTGGTGTTTGGGAGACCGCTAATGCTTGAAGTTATGCCACATTATTTTGACTTCGATGATAAGGACGTGAGTACTATGCCGGTTTGGATAAACTTGACGGGATTGCCTTTGGAATTTTGGAATACAAATGCCTTGGGCAAAATTGTGTCTAAGGTTGGGAAACCCATCTCAATCGATAAAAGTATAGCAACTAGAGGCCGACTTTCCTATGCAAGAGCTCTTGTCGAAATTGATGCTTCTATTGAACTTGTGTGGGAGGTTAAGATTAGACTCCCAAATGGCACGTTAAGGGAACAAGAAATTATTTTTGAACATGAACCAAAACTTTGTGGTTCTTGTAAAGTCTTCGGTCATACTTCTCATGGATGCAATATAAAACATGGTAGGGGGAGAAAGGAAAAGGAAAACCATGGGGACTACTCAACAGAAAAATGGATTGGGTGGAAAATCGACCTCTAATTCCCGAATTCTCCTATCGAGACAGCTTGTAGTGAGCAAGAAATTGGAGAACAACAAACCTCGACTTTGGATGGGCATAAAAGGCAGTTTACTAGCTGAAAATCTAGGCAGTTACCTGTTGAAAATGTGGATGACCAGCAGGTGGAAAATCCGGACCAGGTTGAGGCACCGTTTGTGAAAGTTGTTGGCAAGAAAAACAGGGCTGCTGCGGTGAAAAAATCTGCTCATCAAGGGCCCTCAAAATCTGGGGCAGATTCATCATCCAATATCAACGAGGCAGCTTCTAGTAAATATGGAAATGAAAAGCTAAGGGGCAAAGTCGAGGAGAAAATCAAAAGGTGACGAGAAGAAGGGTACATCCCTTGCTTCAACATCAAGAAGATCGCTTCTTGGAACATTAGGGGTATGAATCTACCCCTTAAACAAAATGGGATTTGAGATTTTATCAAGCAACATTGCATTGATATTATGGGTGTTTTGGAGACGAAGTTGGTTGATCAAAAATTCATGAGAATCTTACGAAATAAATTTGATGGCTTCATGCATGTAAACAACTTTTGCACTCATAAAGTCGGACGGATCTTGATTTTGTGGAATCCATCCAAAATATTTTTGGATGTGATGGAGGTTCATCCACAAATCATTCATTGTAAAGCTACTTGCAAGATAACATCTTATACCTTTCTCGTTAATTTTGTTTATGGATTTCATACTTTGGTTAACCGACGATCACTTTGGAATAACATTATGGAATTCAATGCTCAAGTTTCGTTACCTTGGATGATTCTTGGTGACTACAACAATGTCCTCAAATTTGATGAGAATTGTAATGGGGCGGATGTTACTCCTTATAAAATTAAGGATTTTGAAAATTGTTGCCTTCATGTGGGTCTTACCGACGTGCGCTCCATTGGTTGTTATTATACGTGGACTAATAATTCAGTTTGGACCAAAATTGATAGGGCAATGGTAAATGATATTTGGGTGCAAAATGGAGCATGTGTTGATGCAAATTTTCTACCATCCAAATGTCTTTCCGACCACTCCCCTTGTATTGTTTCCATTCATGATCGTGTTGGAGGCACTAAAAAACCTTTCAAGTTTTTTAACATGTGGACTAAGCATGAGAACTTACGTGATCTTATTCAAACTTGTTGGAACTTTAATGTGTTGGAGACAAAGCAATTTATCCTTTGCAAGAAGTTGAGCAAACTTAAGGGAGTTTTGAAGGAGCTTAATATTAAGCATTTTGGCCACATGTCGACTATGGCAAATAAGGCTAAAAATGAATTGAAGGTTGCCCAATTACAACTACACAATCAGCCTATGAATGAGAATTTTCAACATATGGTTGCTAAATTGAGGAAGATTGCCGTTGGTTTATTTGAAGCGGAACATAGTTTTTATTATCAAAAGACAAAATGCATTTTCCTTAAGCAAAGTGATAAATGTACAAAGTTCTTTCACTAGGTGGTTAAAAGGAACTCTATGAGGAATTTTATTGCTACTATACTCAAAGAGGATGAGACGTATACTACATCACAAGATCAAGTTGCTACGGAATTTGTAAAATTCTACAATACTTTGCTTGGAAAAAACTGCCCAACTTGGCCTATTGACATGGAATTTGTTACAAACGATCCCTTGGTTTCATTGGAACAAGGTAACTCTTTGTTTCGGGACATTTCTTATGAGGAGATTAAATAAGCACTTTTTGATATTGGAGATGATAAGTCTCCCGGGCCGGATGATTATACTTCTTGGTTTTTCAAGAATGCATGGGGGACTATTGGTGATGACTTTGTTGGAGCTATCATGGAGTTCTTCTCTTCGGGTTCCATTCTCAAACAAATCAATCACGCGATCCTTGCTTTAGTGCCAAAATTTGGTCACACACCACATGTTGGGGATTTTAGGTCGATCTCTTGTTGTAATGTTACTTACAAAGCCATTGCAAAAATCCTTACTTCTATACTGAGACCCATTTTGGGTAATATTGTGGACCATGCACAAGCCGTTTTTGTGGAAGGTAGGAGTATGATGGAGAACGTTCATCTTGCCCAAGAACTCATGAGGCAATACAATAAGAAAATGGTTGCTCCAAGATGCCTCCTAAGAATTGATCTTACAAAATCTTATGATTCGGTAAGTTGGGATTTCCTTAGAGATGTTCTTGAAGGATTCCACTTCCCCTCGAGATTTGTAAGTTGGGACATGGAATGTGTTACTTCTCCAACATATTTCGTAGCTTTGAATGGGAGTATGCATGGATTCTTCAAAGGTAGGAAAGGCCTCCGGCAAGGTGATCTCCTCTCCCCCTTTTTATTCGTGCTTTGTATTGAATACTTCTCAAGAATGTTTAGAGCTACAACGAATGATAGTGATTTCAACTATCATCCTAAATGTGACCCCCTAAAGATCACCTATTTAGGTTTTGCGGATGATTTGATGCTCTTTGCTAGGGGAGATGTCATGTCGGTGAAAATTCTCATGGATTGCCTCTCAAATTTTGGTTTGGTATTGGGTTTAAGGTTGAACATCCTCAAATCCAATTTGTATACGGTGGGGATTTATGGACAACCACTTGAGGATATCTTGCAACTCACAAATATCCCGAAGGGTAGTATGTCATTTCGGTATTTAGGCATTTCACTCGCTTCGAGAAAACTTAAAGTAAGTTGTTATGCCCCATTTCTTGAAAAAATTACAACTTATATTGGTGCATGGAATTGCTCTTCATTATCTTATGCGGGCAAGGTGGAACTTATTAGGGCAGTTCGTCAAGGAGTTGAATGTTTTTAGCTTTCAATATTCCCCATACCAACTACAATTATATCAAGGATTGTTAGCCATTGTCAGAAATTCCTTTAGGGATCAAAGAAGCCTTTGGTTGTGTGGAATGATCTTTGTCTTCCAAAAGATGAAGGAGGCCTCAGCTTGAAGGACTTGAAGAGTTGGAATTTAGCGTTACTTGCTAAAACCCTTTGGAATATAAATCATAAAAAGGACACACTTTGGATTCGTTGGGTTCACCAAGTGTATCTTAAAGGGGCTTGCATTTGGGAGGTTCATCATAGAAAAGATCACTCTCCACTTTTTAAAAAATTGCTGGAAATCAGAAATATACTGCTTCATAAGCTTGCTGTTGCACAGGAAATGGGACGACATCTGGACAGATTTTTGGATCTGCCTAATGCTCAAAGCAGGGGCTGAATCTGGGAGGAACAACTCACCGAATACATGAGAATCTGGATAGTTTTCACAGCCCGCAAAATGAATAGAACATTGAGCTGATTTCGACAGAAATCTCAGTCCGACAACAGCAAAATCTGGACAGTTTTTTGGGTTTTCGGACTGCTCAAAACGGGGACCCAAATCTGGGAATTCCGAACAGTTTTTCTGTTGGGAAAACTGGCCATAAATTCAACACAAAAAGGGCATATGATTTCTTCAAGTCAAGGGGTACAAAGAAACCTTGGGCAGTCGACGTTTGGAAGCCTTACATTACTCCAAAACACTCATTTTTGTTTTGGTTAGGGGCCCAATCAAACCTCCTAACTAAAGACAAACTGCATTTCTAGGATATTGATCGTAAGTGTGATTTTTGTGGACATTTGGAGGAACCAGTTCGGCACTTATTTTTTGAATGTTCTTTCACTTCGGCTGTATGGGGAAATATTAGACATTGGCTTGGCATAAAAAATTCTATGTCAACACTTGCTAGCTCTCTCAAGTGGATGAAGAAAGAGGCTCGTGGGACATCATGGCGAAGCAAGGCTAACAAAATTGCACTTGCTAGTATTGTTTACTGCCTTTGGCTGACATGTAATAGGAAGATTTTTGAAGACCTTTCACCCAACTTGGATTCCATTGAGAGACGGATCAAGACACACGTATACAAAGTTATGTTCTCTTTTTATCCGGATGTCTTGATCCATTTCGAGTCCTTGGCATTGGATCATTGACTTTTTATGCACTTCACTTTTGTTGTATTTTCCGGGTATGCCCGAAGTAACTGGATGTGATATTGGTTTCTGTTTTGCCTGAGTATACCCGATGTACTTGTATATGAACATTTTTTATCAGTGATATTTACATTTACCGATAAAAAAAAAAGATTAGTAGCAAAGCAGGCTTGGAACTTAATTTGCAACAAGAAGTCACTAATTGTATGTACACTAAAAGGGAAGTATTTTGGAATTGGTGATTTTCTAGCAGCCAAGAATGAAAATGGTTCATTCTACCTCTAGAAAAACTTATTATGGAGAGTGGACTAAGGTGACAGGAAGATGGAGAAGGGTAGTGACACGACTCGTCCCGAATCACCCTAGTGGACTCGAAACGTGACGTGCGCCAATGATAGATGCTGACTAGATGTTAATTCTATCACCAAGGCCGACTATGAGTTACAAAAAAATACATAAAAATCTAATGCTTATGTAAAATATAATGTGTGGGCCCAAATTATTTACTTCGTACTTCATCAATATGAATTATAACACTCAACATGTCGTGTGGCTCTCATTCCGAAATTATTAGGCTCTCTCAACTAAAAAGAATCAATTTCCACATGTAGGAAAATTACGGAAAAATATATGAGTTTATAACTCAGTGAGTGGAAAAGTTTGAAAATAATTATATTTTCTCATTTAAACATTTTTATCCAACAATAAGTTCATATCGTTTAGTAATTCACACGATAGTAGCAAAAAAATGAGACATTCTCATAACTACGTAAATATCATCTCATATCCACGATATAGTCATCAGCTGATATCTATACCATCATCTAATCATATCACATGTGATCCACCAAAAACGTACCCTCTGACTAAAATATATAATCCGCCCCTCGGGCTAAAAACTTTCATCACGGGCCTTTGGCCTCCTCCGTGAACGAAAGTCGATCTCAAAGACCTCTCATAATCAATTCTAGAACACGGCCAAGACCCCTCTGTGAACTATATGTACACGATCAAGACCAATGTTAGGTCAAGACCCTCTGTGTAGGATAGAACACGACCAAGGCCCCTCAGTGAACTAGAAGAAATATATAATTACGGGTACTTTTCTGGTCGATCTCAAGATCACATAATTCACAATGTACTGTATACAATCTTTGAAAGTCCATATGTATCATAATAAAAGATATTTCGATAATAACCATATAATTCGAACACATAATTGCACATACTTTGATAATATACTTAATTCATAAATATTTTAAAAATATTTATATTTTTCCCCTCACAAATCCATGAATAGAAATCTGCCTAAATTGACGTGTCATTCCAAGTTTTCATGTCTCTACCTGAAATAACGGCATAATTTCTCAAATTAAAATCAGGCAACTAAATTAACACAATTCTACCTCTCAACTTCTTAATTTCTATATTTACTCTTACATCTCCAATTTTCCAACTTTTCTCATCTCTAATGATTTATCAACTAATCACCATTCATTATCAATTCCATTAAAATACGCACACTTCCTTAAAATCAATAACTTATACATATATAAGCTCTATACATAATTTATTCCAATACATGAACTTCAACACTTGTCATATAACTTCATTCGAGCCTTTAAAAATCTGAAAATAAGAGTTTTGACAAAAACAGCACTAAAACCCCATAATATCAAAATCTGGCAGCAAAACCTTTGACAGAATTAGCACTATTCTGGGCAGATTTTCAGAATTGGCAACTGCACATGAATTTTGCACGAAAATTGCTTATAATTTCCAAAATCTAATCTTAACTTCATATCTCACTATAATTAATCACAAATAAGGTGTTTTATATCATATACACACAATAGATCAAAGATTCAAGCTCTAAATTACAAACCCATTTCAAAATTCAACTTTCTTCAATTTCAATACTCTAATAACATTTCTTTGATATATTCTTGCTTAATACCTCAAAAATATAACAATAATAATCTCTAATTCTTGCTAAACTTCGAATATAAATGAATGGTTTATAAACTCTAGAAATTTAATTAACTTACCTCTTTAAAATAAGGATAAGTTGAAGAAATGAAGAACCCAAACTTACAAAAATCATCAACCTCTTTCATTTCCTTTCTTTTCTTTTTCTTTTCTTTTTTCCTTCCCTTTTTCTCCCTCTTTTTCTCCAATTTCGTTCTCTGCCTCCTCTCTATGTTTTGGCCCCAAAAATGAGAGAAAAATGATATGTTTGAGGTTTTAAATGGATAAGTATGATAGAATTGCAATTCAAGTCCCCACACTTCATGTAATATACCATTTACTCCTTTAATTCCAATATATAGAAACTAAATCCCTAAGGTTCTTGTAATTACAAATTAAGCCCCATAAAATTCATTTGTTCAATTTAAGTCCTTATTGACTTTGACTTTGACTTTGACTTTGATCATTTTCTTTGTTTGACTTTGACTAAAAATGGGTGGGGTGCAACAGGTAGTTTAGTCGAATTTTACAAGACCGATGCCTTACTCTCCCAACATCATTTATACCCATTACTATTGTTCCTAGAGTATAAATATCTCATTCAATCAATCTGAATATACTACACCAATAGAATTACTGTAATGTAATTTGAATAGCGTAAGCCCATCGATTTCACGATATTTTTTTTTTTTAAATGAATTTTTTACCTTCAAAAGTGCTAAAGGCGTTCAACAATCTTCTCCCATGATCGAACGAATTTCGTCCTTACTGAAGCATAACTGCAATTTGCAAGAGGTCCAAGAACTTAATGAAGTGTTTTTCACTTCGAGAACAATATCAGAACAAGAGAGAGAACAAGATTCAAAGTAGGAAAAGTTTGCAATTAAAATTGTGTAAGTTTTATGGCAATGGTGCAAGCTATTTATAGATTCGTTTGTGGGCATTCGAATATCCTTAAGCATTTCCATAATAGTCATCACTGATAAAAAACCCTTCGAACAAGAACATACATCACTGCTCAGAATGAAACACAATATCCATTAAGTCTATTAACAGATATCCGTTATGTCGGTTAATAGACAATCCAAACCAAAAAATTACTCGAAAATGAGCAAATCAAAAATTAATTTCGTTAACTACCCAAGAATTTGATTAATTATAATTTGGCCCAAAATTTTAAATAAATTTTGTCCAAAAATATAATATAATACAAGAACCCACCAATATCTAAACACAAGCACGTGTTCATGCCATGTCGTGCCCAGCCGAGCGGTCTAACGGACTGCGATGATCGCTTGCACATGTGGACTTGGGACGGAACCCAATTAGATATAGGTCTTCTTCCTTCCAAAAATTATGGGTACCCCTTCGAGCCCAAACTCAATTACCAAGCTTCCGCTATATAAATTATACCAAAGTTTCCTAACTTTTCTTCGTGGGATAAGTGTTTTACAATTTCCAATAAATCAAATTCTTCATTAGTTTATAGTTTCAAGCATGTTACTTTGACATTAAATTCTAAATAGTTTTCGATAAATAAATATATCATGTTACTCATCTCGTAGAGTAGATTGTGAATGTGGTTGGTTCAGTTAAAATTGAAGTATGGATCCCACTAATATTGGAGCTCAAAGTTGACCCAATTCACTAATTAATAAACAATTTCCAACAATCCCCTACATATATAAAATATATCGACTTTTTCCAAACAACATCTGATATATTTTTTGAAATATGAATGAAGAAAAATTGCATTGTTATAAGTAGGCAAAGGTTTTGAATTTTTCTTAGTTAAATTTATCAGATTTACTTGGTCAATCAGTAGCAAGATGCTTTAATAGGACTTGAAGATCGGTATTAAATCTATCAGATTTACTTGGCCAATTAATAGCAAGATGCTTTGACAACGTTTAATAGGACTTGAAGATCAATATTCTTAAATCATTTAATAATCTATCCCGAGTAGAAAAAAGAAAATTATCATCACATATAACTGGAAATATTTCTTATCTCAAATGCAAACGTATTAAGATATATTAAATCATAAGAACATTCGATGAGATCATGAGAGCAAAAACAAACACTAAGCTATTGTTTGACAATCATTATTTGTAAATTATTTTTTCTACATATTCATTTTTCACCACACATTCACGCAATAAAATATTCTGCACATAAATCTAAAAAATTTCTTTCTTTTTTAATCACACATTTTCCTAAAAATCAATAGTCAAAATTCTATTTTCTCCTAAATAATGGTGTCAAATAAGGGCTAAGAATAAAAAATTGGAAATTAATATAAAAACATTAAGCCCTTGTTTGATGGAGATTAAAATCATATTTTTAGTAGATTTTGATAAAAGTTGATGAAATGTGTGGTTTAAAAGTTATATGTCTCATAAAATTCGTGGTAAAAATTAACTATTAACTTTGACTTAGATTAAAATTTTAATTTTAATTTCTACCCAACAAGGACTAAAGCATGTTCATCATTATCCTGGTTTCTATACAACCAACTCAGCATCATAATAATAAAAAAGACATTAATGGAATCTATCCAACACTAAACAATTTTTTATTTCTCTAAATATTTTTTTTCTTTTTTAATTGTTTTAATTAACTAAATATTAAAAAATCACTTTAGTCTACATTAAATTAATCAAATTAAGGTCACAAGTTTGGATTTTGATCAACTAAAAAAAATTTGGATTAAAATCATTAGAGATCTTTCCGGCACACAATTATAAGAAGGTTTGATAAGTAGGTACTAAAATTTCTAATGTTTGAAATTCAACTGCACATTTTTTAAATGTTGGATATCTCTGGCGAATTTCCCTTGTTCCAGTTAATAAACATGGTAGGGATCAATGCCAAACCTTTCACAAAAAAAAAAAAACCATGATTCTTTTTCTTTCTTTTTTTTTTCCCCCGCAACTAGTAGGACCAACCGTGTTGTTTCTCTACCAACGGTCATGTTCAATGGATCTTTGGTCATTCCAATGAACGTAGACATCAAAAGCATTTGAATTGCTTGCTTGCCTTTTCCTTCCTTTTCAATCTCCTTCGATGGCATTTTATCTTGTGTGTAACATCAAATATGTTGTTTAGTCTCACCCATTTGATAAGAAGAAAAACTAAGTCCATGGTTGGTTTGCCGTTTTCGGTCCATTTTTCGTTTTCCGTTTTCGAAAATGCGAAAAACGCGTTTGGTCCTTTTTTTCGAAAACGCATTTTCGAAAACAAATTAAAAATTATAACTGAAAATGCAAAACGACTTTTTATCGTTTTCAGTTATAAATGTCGAAAACGTTCAAAACGGGCTGTTTTCGGGGAAAACTAAAAATTGTTTTGAAAATGATAACGAAAAATGAAAATGCAAACCAATCACTACCTAAGGTTTTTCAAAGACTTTTTTTTTTTTTAATCTAAATGCTTAATTGAAATCTAGTCTCACCCATTTGATAAATTTCGACAGTAAGTCTGTACTCGGACTACGACTAAACATATTTAGCGAACAGTAGAAACAGCCTGCAAAATAAGAGCCACAACAGCATACGCATAGTGTCTATTGTTTTGACTTCAATGCAGAAAACGCAAAGAAACTAGACAAGATTAGATGCATGTCATGCTATAAATTCTCATGCATCAAGAAATTTCTCAATGTCCAGTGAAAACGTCTAGATATATATCATGCAGACTAAAACTTCAAGCCTTTTCTCCTTGATGAGAACAGGTAAGACAGGTCTTACAGGAAAGTTGGCTCGTTGATATGTTCGAATACCTGGTTCATCTTCAGTTCAATGATTTATACTTGTGGGTTAGAGACTTAGAGTAGCCATCTAGAAATATATTTGCGACTTGCAATTTCACCATATCATACTCACTCCCTTAAGAAAAAGTTGGGGAAATTCCAAATTAAGAAGGCTTAATAGAGGAAATTTTAGAGAGAAGTTCGTTGCTGAGAGTTCATAAATAAATGAATTAGGTAAGAACCTGAATCTTGATAAGATAAAGTAGCAAGCAATTCGTCATTTAAAAGGATCATAGAGCAGAAACCAGAACCATAAGAAAAATATGCAAGATCTGACGTCGTCATCATCAGTGAATTCTTAGGAAAGAAAATTCCATAACCAGAGCATCAATTAAAGTTAAATAATCCATCTCTTCCACACAAAAGAACTTCCAAGTAGTGCGATGGTTAATCATTATATATTGTGGAAGGGAAAAGTAACAATGGAAAATCATACAGTAATTAAAGGACGGATTCTATATACAGATACCAGATATGCTCCAGCCACCAAATAATTTGCAATGCAAGTAGTAGTGTTGCAAAGAATAGTAAAAGATGAAAACAACTAACACATCAAACTTGAATGGCCAAAAAGTGACTCGTTGGTTAAGTAGAAGCGAAATGTTACTGCTTGACATAATTTTTCAATCATTCACCAAATACTTGAGTGCATCCAAACAATTTGAGCACTTCCAATGACGGGCAACTAACCTGTAAGGATTTGGGCTGCTGAAATCTTTGAGCCCAATTGACATTTTGCATGACCTGACCCAATGATTTTAACACACTTACTGAAGGTTCTAGACTTGACAAAGTCGTGTTTTCTTGAAACGCAATTTAACTCCAAAATGCGTCCTCTGCTGGATCTCCTATGCGTGGCATATTTGTGACCGTTGGATTGGTCTATGGGAGACGCCTCATATAACTCGGGTTTGAGATATTTTGTTCAACCCTAACTTTTCATTTTCTTGACTGCCGTTCTTCCTCTTCGAACTCTCCATTTTTCTGTGGGTTTACTTTGTGATTTCTGTGTGAAATCCTTTTAAAGAATTGTTGAGATTTATCTCCGTGTGAGATCTGTGTATAAAATCTGAGGGCCTCTTGTGATTAGAAGAAACGGCAGTGTACTCTCATATGTTTGTAACTTGGTTTTGCCCAGTATGGGTATCTTGATAGTGGATTCAAGCTTAATCCGTATGGATGCTCAACGGGGATGTAGGCGTTAGTTGGTCGCCGAACCTCGGGGCCTTTGGCCGAAAATTCTTTGTGTTGTTTTATAATTTTTCTGCACTTTTGGATTTTGTATTGTACCGAAAAATACTCGAACGAATAAAAGATTTGAACAACTGGGACTAACAGTGGTATCAGAGCCACTATTAAAATTCGTTTTTCAAAATATTATTGTTCAAATCTTGCATTCTCTAACACGACTGTACTTAGAACTATAAAAA